TCCTGCTGGGTGCACGATCGCTTCATTGCTCATAAAGCCAACTTCTATCTGGAATGTAATCCCTGTCACTGTTTCGAGGGCGAGTTTACGTGTTCTAAGAAGAATTGTGGGGAGATACGAGTTCCTTCGTTACCCTGCGATTGTCCGGCTCATTACGTTCCAGTCTGCGGTAGATTAGGCTTCACTTTTGCATCCGGCTGTTTGGCAAAGTGTGCCGAGATGTCCGCAAACGAGGTGGAATTCGGCAGCTGTTCCTCTCGGGATCCATGCGCATCCAATCCTTGCGACAGCACGGAGAAATGTGTCGTACGAACCAGAGTATGCTTGTCCAGGCTCCATAAACCTTGTCGCCAGTACCAATGTGTTCCTCTCGATTGTGATCCTCGAGATGAAACCAGTGGCCCAGTTTGTGACAGAGAAAACCGCCAACATCGATCAATGTGTGCTATGATTAGAGCTGGAGCTAGTTTGGGATACAGAGGACATTGTCTGGAAGGATGTACCTTACGTGGTCCGGTTTGTGGTGCCAATGGAGAGGTCTATGCAAACGAATGTGCAGCTTGGGCAGAGAGGACAGTGGTGGATTATTTTGGTCCTTGCGTAGCTGTTGGATTAATAGGCGATCAAGCGAAGCCTCGTTGTGGCGATCTGGTGCAGTGTCCACGATTGATCGAGCCTTACTGCGTTGGGGTCACACCACCTGGTGCATGTTGTCCAGTCTGCGGTGGAGCAGCTAAACTTTTTTATTCCAAAAAGCAGGTACATCATATTTTATGTAACGATTTTTCTTTTTCTAACGATTCAGAAGGTTGAAATACATTACGTTTTATTCTCTGGTTTTCAGTTGGACAGGATATACTACATGATGGACGAGGATGTGGATAAAGATTCGGTTACGCTCGAGGTCCTTTTATCTGCTCTAGCACGACAGATTCAAGTGGCACAATGTGTTCTTCGAGGAATGATGACGCCGGACCGTGATATATTCATCGTTGTACAGCCTACGTCGAAGAGGCCTTCGACACTGCAGTTACGGGCTTGCGTGGCTGAGACTGAGAAGCTAGTTACCAGAATTTCGGAGAGAAGCCCAAGGATCACGGCGGAAGTACCCTTAGGCGCGCTCACCAGAGCGGAAATTGCTCATAGTTACATATCAAGTGCCATGACCATTGGGGGATGCATTATGCAGATCTTTCTTGGAGTTTTCGTTTATATTATAACTATGTGAAGATCGAAACAGAAACGTATAGGAATAGGAGATATCACTGACTGTGATAAGTAGTCGGCTTGATTATCACAATCAGTGGTGATCTTGATTCTCATTTGTCAAAAGTGCTGAAGCATTTTTTTTTACCTAATGGCTTTACCGCTCGCGGTATCGTCGAGTTCATGACTGTGATTCTTCTAGTGCCTAACGTAATATACAGAAAAGTAGAATGTATTTTCGTCTATCTTTTAATATTGCCAAAGAAAAGGAAGTACGTGGAACATGTACAAAGGCACATAATTACCCAGATACGAAAGCGTCGCTAAACGATTGTTAAAGGGTGATTATGCTGCTCATTGTAAGCTGTAAATAAAGTTAAAGTCCTAACTTAAGTTACCAAACAAAGTGTCCGATGATTGTTACATTGTATTCTTCGCAGATACAATAATCGATAAAAAAAAGTCGTTCTGTCGAGCGTCCCAAATTTTACGTCACACGTTTGATATTAGTCTGAATTCTTTTATTATATAAGTCGATAAATTTGGACCGCTCACAGACATCTCGATCGCTGAATCGATACTCCCGTAATTGTTAAGCAAATCACACGTTATTGTACTGTTAAATACAAAGTGTTTTGTATAGACATTTGTAAGTTTAATAAATTTCTAATTTTACTCGTACGTTATTCATTGAAATTAATATACTATAGTGCGTAGGATTGCATGTACAACAAAAACATTTTTTTTTTTTTTTTTTTTTTTTTTTATAAAACCTTGTATCGACCGCGAGATGCCGTATGTGCTCCGGACGCTTGTAACTTAATTAGTTCTTCTTTAATTAGTCGCGAAACTTCTGCTTTGGCCTTGCTAACTGCTAATTCGCTTGTGGACTCAATAGCGAGATATAACTTTCTCTCTCCTTCTGGTGGAGCTTTACCAGGTGCGATGTAAGTTCCTCTGACTGTAAGGCCTGCTTCGGAATACTCTGAGATCTGTGCAAGAGCTTCTTTGCTTGTAACTCGCCACCTAGCCTGTTGCGGGAAGTCGTTGATCTCTAATTCTTCTTCATATTTACGGAAGGTTTGTTCACCAGCCTCTGCATCGCTTTCTACAAGATCTTCCTCGCGAGGTTGATAATTTAATTTAGTGTTCAATTTCGCAGCCAACTGTTCGGCAACCGTTTTCGCTGTAATAAGATTGGTTGGACCAGCGCCTTTAAGTATAGCTTCTGCTGCTTGCTGCGTTGCACCCTTTGCCTCGGCCCCTAAGTTTTTAGCTATGTTGATCTTAGATGCTAATCGTCTAGCCAACTCTAACTTATCGGTTGCACTAGGTACAGGTTGACCAGGAACTGCGATGTTGGTGGCAGAAGGTCTGGCAATCTCACGAACCGTTCTCTTTGGCGCCAACATACTCTCTATTTGCTGGTCGATATCGTTCTCTATGTCTTCGTCATCAGAATCTTGCAGACCCAGAGCTGCTTTCTGGAACTTCTTCTTTTCGTTCGCTAACGCCGCTTCCGATTCGTCGAACTTGAATCCTTTACCACTGAAACCACCTCCAGTGTGCACTTTCTTGCCATCTGCTGCTTGTCGTGCTTTATATCCTTCCCAAAGTTGGCGTAATGGTTCAGGAACGGGTACCCCAGCTAATTCATGAGCACGCAAAATATCACCCGCATAACGTTCCTGTTCCGATGTAATGAAAGTATATGCATACCTGTAGATAAAAAGATAGTAGAAAAAAAAGAAGTCGTTCGTTTTTGATAGCTTTAATGATATAGATAGTGACTTAAAAAAAAAAAAAAAGTGAAAAATTACCCTTTGTTTCCAGCCCTTCCTGTTCTTCCACATCTGTGCACATAATCTTCATAATGATTCGGACAGTCATAATTTACTACAAGTACAAGATGCTTCACGTCCAGACCTCTAGCTGCAACTGACGTGGCGACTAATAACTTTGTCCTGCCAGCTTTGAAGTCTAATATCGTTGAATCCCTATCGCATTGATCGATACCGCCATGAAGCGACATACAGGAATAAGAGGCTTTCATGAGATCCTTCAACAAAGTGTCTGCATTCTCTTGCTTATCAACAAATATTATAGTGGAACCCTTGTCTTGATAGTGACCGAGAATTTCAAGCAATTTGTAAAACTTCTGATCTTCTTCGAGAACTACCACATGTTGCTCTACATCTTTACAAACTATAGACCGCCCTCCGACCTGAACTTCCACGGGTCTAGTTAAAATCCTCCTTGCTAATGCTTCCATTTGTCGAGGGAATGTTGCACTAAATAATACAGTTTGTCGATCTGGACGAACGTTTTCCATAATACGCATCACCTGAGGTTCGAAACCCATATCAAACATTCTATCCGCTTCATCAAGAACTACGTAAGTTACTCTACGTAGATTTGTTACTCTTCCACTGTTAGCGGCCAACATATCGATCATTCTACCTGGCGTACAAACAATTATTTCAGCGCCTCTCTTCAGCTCGGCTATCTGTTCCGATATACCAGTTCCACCATAAACGCAAACATGAGACAGTCCCAAAGACTTTGTGAACTTCTTCGAGTCTCTACCGATTTGCATGCATAATTCTCTTGTTGGTGTCATAATTAATGCGATTGGACCATCACCATCTGCTAATGGAGGCTGATCGAGAATATGCCTAAACATTGGTAGCAAGAATGCTAATGTTTTCCCACTACCTGTTTTTGCTATACCTATCAAATCGCGGCCAGACATAATTGCTGGAATGGCTTGACATTGAATAGGAGTTGGCTTCTCGTAACCGAGTTTCTTTAGCACCTCCAGCTCTTTTTTTGTGACACCACATTGTGCCCATGACTTAATGGGCTTTGGACAACCCTTACCTTTCACGCGAATACCTTCTAGTTCTTCCTTGTACGCTTCCACTTCCTCCGGCGTCATTCTCGCTAAGCAAATAACGTACCATTATCTAATAGAACAAATATTACGCATACAAATTAAGATAAAATGCAACTCTGATAGAATAACTTACCGATTTCAGGTACTTCGACGTAAAATGATTTTCTAAACGGTTGATACTCGGTCGTTGCGTGATCAACTTTAGCTAATTCTCGTTTCTGTTTATTTGCAATACCGGCTGCTGTTTCATGAAGGTTCTCTCCTTCTTCTTCGCTAGAATATTCCAAACCATCTTGATTCTGCTCAATTAATTCTCCTTTCTGTTTCTGTACTTTTTTCTTGGCTACACCAGTAACAATGACAACGCCACCGCTTTGAGTACCACCAGTGCCTGTACCATTATTGGCATTCTTTCCACCTTTACTGTCAAGTTTGTTCACTTTCCGAACTTCTTCTTGAACCTATTAAATAAAAACGTTTAATTCTCTTAAAATGTGTACAATATACATATACATATACATACCTCTGCCATAAAGGCATCAAGGGGATCGACTTCTTCTTCATCATCTTTAGCTTCCTCCTTAACTTCCTCTATTTCTTCTTTTATTTCTCCATCTTCTTTGGCTTCCTTGTTACTATTTTGGACAACAGGAGTTTCTTCATCACTGTCATCCTCAAGGGACCACTTTTTCATAGGCAGCTGTAGGTTTGCTAAAATGGATGCCTTACCGTCTTTCTTAGTTGCCTCCAATTCTTTCTTTTTCCTTTCCGCACGCCATCTCTCTATTCTTTCTCTCCTCTTTTGCATTTCCAGTTCTAATCTTTTCTGCTCTTCCTCCTAACAAATACAACGAAAGATAATTTTTCGATACATTAGGAGAATATTTTTCCTGATTAAATAAATTACCTTGTCCAGTTTAGTGTGATCAAACGGCAACTCATCACTGTCACCTTTCTCCTTCTCCTTCCTCTCCCTTGATCTTGATCGATTGGACCGATCTTTACCTGAACGCGAAGACTTTGAGCCTGTAAGACGCTTTTCTTTACTGTCTCCACTAGTATACCGAGAACAATCAATGTTAACACATTATTTCATCACTATATGTAATTTAACAAACACTAAAAACAGACATGGTAACTAACACAGTTTTGTTTGTAATCTGAAAATCTCGTGCAGAAAATTGTAACATCAAAAAACATTTCAATCGCGTGAAACAGGAAAGTAATACATATCCATATATATTTTTACATTGTAACATACCGTTTTCTGTCGCGATCTCTGTCCCTTTCAGAACGATCTCTTCTATCCCTGTCTCGATCTCTCGAACGACTCCTCCTTTCCCTATGTCGTCCCTTATCTCGTTCTCTATCCCTATCTCTACTCCTAGACCGCCGTCGTTTTTTTTCCGGAGTAGCAGAGCGAGATCTTGATCGAGACCTCGATCGCCTTCTATGATGTCTATCCCTACAAAGCGAAGATATTAAATAACAAGCGTGATATTAGATCACTAAATAGACCGTCGCATAATGGTTATCGATTGAATAATTCGCAGTTCATAACTGCGAAGAAAATAAAAATTAACCTGAAAAAAGAGTTAAATAAATCGTTACGCTTACTTGTCGCTACTTCGAACCATGATTGATAATACTATTTAATCGGAAGAAAATTTTATCACGAGCCTAAGTGTTCCTATTACGAGAACATTTATTGTACGTTTCCTCTTATTATGCCACAAAATACACGACACAATTACTTTCGTTTACAAACGCAAACCCAATTTACTTTCTTTTTGCCGGTGCTGCCTTTCGAGTGCAAACTACAAACTAACCAGACTAGAAACTGTACTACCATAGCATGGTAATACAGTTCCGACGGTAAGTAAGCGGGGTCCTTGTCTAAACTAAATTTACATCTTACGAAAAACGGTGATAAATAAGAATGTTTAATTTCCTTCGTATAATACGTATAAAAATAGATAAAAGACTTTACATCGCTTATTATCGTTTCAACGCTCGTACCTCCGCTATTAATTTAAGAAAGCAATATAAATTCGGACAACTGACGAGACTTAACGAATATCTCTCTATTCGTACCGTATTCCGATTAAGGTACCGAAACCTTGAAGCGAATTCTTCCTTATTCGCAGGAATTTCCAACTCGATTTAGACAAGTTCGCATGCCAACGCATCACTCGTACGCGTGCACGTACGTATCGCAAGATATATCGCGTGCAAGACCGGAATAATACACCGAAATCATCTATTTCACGAGGATCTGGCATGAAAATTTTTCCCTCGCAAAACGCAGATCGATAGTAACGATACATGCAGGGAACAAAGTCGAAGTTATTTAAAACCGTTAAACCGTTTGGCCACATCTGCCAATCGGTCACCGAAACTCGAAAAAGGAGCAGATGGCGAAGACCCGAAGGAAAGTTACTTAAGCAGGTGTAGCTGGGCACGCGACAGGTGAACGTCGCAACCGTATGCCTTTTCTCGTTTATTTTAAGGGTTGACGATATCAGAGCCGAAGTGGAAGAATCGAGAAGCAAGAATGGGAAACTGAATGGAACAGTCTTTATCTATCGGTGATAATAACTGTAAAGCTCTTCTAAGCGATCGCCATTGAATCTTAATCAGAGACAAACGAGCTCAGAATCCGCGATGGATTCACCCTGTATCGCGGACAGAGGCGTGCAGTTCGTGCTTGCGATAAAAATCACTCGTCGTTCGCTTCTTATGCCCGGTACATATCGCAAGGCTTCGGTTTTTCCCAGGACGGCGAGATTTCCGATCCGATACCGTGTCTCTTCTGGTAAATAATCCACGTGGAGGACGACGAATAAATTCGCGAGAGGAATACAAAGTGGCAGCCGAGTTCCTCCGCTTAAATTGCCCGCTGGGCGCCAAACAGTTGCTCGCGACGAGGAAGACGAGGTGTCGCGAGACGTTTTTCCATAAACTCCGATTCGAGCCAGGGAAAAAGGACGCTCGAGTAGCCACGTTCTCTCTATCCCCTTGTCGCCAAAGAATTCGCAATTTATCCTTATAGAAAACGAAAGGTTCCTTCTGGCACGAATCCCAATCGATCCTCGGATTCCTGTGAACAAAGAAATAATGCAGTGAACGTGGTTGGCCGACGACGCTTGCGTGAATCTTTTCGCATAAAGGAATTCTCTCTTACAATAAACGATATACCTGACCGACAGAAATTCCGGGAAAATCGATTCCTCTTTCGAGTTCCTGCTCAATATCGCACGGAGGCAAAGAAAAAGAACGGCAGGAAGAGTACCAGCTCGAAATCTGTCCACCGATGATCCATCTGACCAAACGGGTTTTGGGAGCAGCCAATTAATTTGATCGAGTGACGATTCGATTTGCGGTTGCTTCGCAGGCAATTAACTAAGTCCCTCGTGTAACCTGGAAAAAACGTGTTCGTGGATTTAATCTAAAGTCAATATTCGACTGGCAGATGCGAACGAGAGGGTGGAGAGTTTCCTCTGGATATCAGCGATCAGTCGCGATTACTATTCGCTGATATATTCAACCACGTCGAACTCATTCACGAATGAATGAGATCGGTAGCCCTTCCTCTCTGCGGTATACAGTTTCAATGTCAGTCACAGGAAGCAACTTGATACAGTTGGCTTCCGACGCGCGTGCGGACGCTTAGCAAATGACAATGTTACTTAAGCGTCCGTTAACGAATGGGCAGCCATCTTTAACTGCTACCGAGCGGACGAAATTTCACCGAGAGTCGAAAACAGTTGTAAATAATTAAACACGGTGTCTTTCTCTCGGAAAGCGAGATACTCGAAGTACTCGGAGACGAAATATCGAATACGAATTTCTAAATTTCCGAATCTTCGATTAATTTGAATCCTTAAACCTGAAAACCGATTCGAACAGAAAAGCTACCGGAACCTTCTTCCCTCGCGTGAAACAGGGTGAGCACCACTGTCGAACAGAAGGGCGCGTGCCAAGAGTTCACATCTGCCGCAGTTGTTTTCGCATCCCCTCGGTTTCTTTCTGGAACACCACCACCACCACCACCACCAGCACCACTACTGATAAATGCGTCTCCGGTTTCAGAAAAAAGGCTTCCGCAGGAAGCAGTAGCAGGCCTTTCCGTCTCGAACTTTCCGGTTCCTTCCTCTTCGACCGCCAAGGAATCACCCTGGACGGAAGGAAGCCTATCGTGAAAAAAATATTCATAAAATTCGCCGTCGTTCCATGTGTTTCTATGGCGAGCAAATATAAGCGAAAACAAACACGCGTTACCCTAATCACCGGCTGGACAACGTCTAACTCCGTCGATTCCTGTGTTCCATTTGGCAATGGAAACGTTTCAATGATGATTGCCCATTGTCTATGCGGCGCGGTGCGTTTTCCCAACAAATTGTCTAGTCGCAGAGAATAATCGCAGAGGAGAAATAATAAGAGAAGAGTTCAGATGGTGTGACGATTTCCTCTTCCTTTCTCTAGCAAGTCCTCTTCGAAGGCCCCTCTCATTTGTCGGCTCTGCAGTGTCTCCTTAAGCCCACTGTAGAAACGTTTAATGGTCATCGGTCCCGTCTGCAAATTACACGTTCTAACGTGTCATTGTTTCCCCGGGATATTTTCCAAATTTTCTTTCAAACGAAGATTTACGACAACGTCGACGGGAAAACGAGCAAATTCGAGTCGACTTGGACTCGGAAACATCGGTCTGGGAGTTAGGAAATTATAAAAGGGGGCCGGGAAAGTGGTGGTACGGGCCTGGGAAAGGGCCCAAGGAAGGGGACCGACTCAGGTAAGCAGCTGCAAGCATCTGCAGAGGCAACAGCAGCCGCGTGCTTAAATTAGTCCCGGCACAACTGTCGTTCGCGTAACATGCAGGAGAGAACATTCCTCAGTTTCGTGTTTCGAAGAGCGTAGCGAGGAATTCTGTAACAGAAACAGATACTAGTCAGTTGTTGATCCACTTGCGAGAAAGGTGCACGAAACTTTGATATCGAACAGTCGTAAAACACGGTCGAGGAAACGATGAAAAGAGTTCGATTCTGAAAGAGAACCGTTGGACCTTGATTTGTCTCTGAAACATATAGGGGATTTCATATTGGAATTTTGTGATTATGCTCATTATCTCGCTAGGAACAGTTCCAAGTGAATTTTATCGATAGAGAAGTCCGTATGGCTCGGAGATCCTTGGGAAATTAGTGGAGAACTTGGACTCAACGATCGTATGAAGGTTCACAGAGAGTTGATCCAACGAAGAAGAAGAAGAAGATGCTGATACTTAGGCTAATCGTGGTGTCGAGCCTCTGCTGGATGGCCAGGTGCGATTTATTGGACCTGTACGTCCAGCACATGGACGAGACCATGAAAACCCTGGCTTACAGGAACAGGCATCATCCAAAAGACATTACGTCCAGGATAAAGAGAAGCCTTCGAGAGGAACCGCTTCTCAGAGTCGGTACGTTCAAGAAGCAACGATTGGACGTTGACAAAGAGTGGTACGCGCAATGGAAAGCAAAGAGGAAGATCCCTTACAAAGAAGACGGTCTAGACTTTCCGAATTCGAGGGAAGAGAACCTGGACCCGAGTCAGCACGAACTGGTGAACAACGCGAGTGGGATTCTCGGCAAAGTGTCCGAGGAAACGACCATCGCGTTGGTGGAGACGAACGAAACCGTGGACGCGTTCGACATCGAACTTTCCAACGAGGATTCAACGTGGTTCAACGATACGGCATCGTCTGACAGGCAGTCGATCGAAATAAACGGGGACCCGAGGATCGAATCTCGAGAAGAGACTACTCAGACGACAGATCTGCACGACGACGTCGAAATCGAGGGCAACTCTCAGTTCGAAATCATCAGCGAGACCGGTACCGCTGGTCCGAGTCTCTTCGACGATCCCATCTTGAAAAGAATCCCAAAATCGCGTGACCGAGTTCCTAAGAAATATATCCCACCGACGGATAAACTAGCGAAGCTTTTTCGCGGATACAAATACGTCGATTACGAGGAGACCGTAGACAACAGACCCAGAAGAAGCGTGAAGGAACCAAAGTTCACCAGACACGAGAAGCTGGACGACGATGGCGAGGTTATCCTCGAGTGGGATCCATCTGACGACGAGATGGTCACTTTCAAGGTCACCGCGAAGACCTTGGGATACATTGGCATCGGGTTCAACGAGAAAAACCACATGAAGGGGGCTGATATTCTGCTGGCCTGGGTGGACGATCACACGAGAACCGCCAATCTGCTGGTAAGTCTTTCTCTGTTCGATCTCAATCATCGGTGATCGATGAGGGGGGGGACTGGTCGTCAAAGGTATTCGGTGCTATGATCGATAGCCTCGAATCTCTGATCTCCGGTGAAACGAATTCGCGATTTCTTTTAAGTTTCCACGCTTCGTTCTATCCGGCGTGCAGCCGTGCTCTAATCATCGGTTAACATAGCAAGACGGTGATTAGGATGCGTGAGAATAATCGAGCATCTAACTGGAAAGTCTGCCGGCGTCTAGGCTGGCCGCGTGGGAAGAACTCGTTTTCTTCTTATCGCAATGCGATCCTAGATTTCTCGAGCCTCGCGTATGATTCTATTTTCGCTCCGCTTTCGAACCGTCGGCGATCGGTTCTTGCGGAATCAATTAAACGGCCGATCGAGGAGAACGCACCTCCGGCGATCCGGCGAACGCCGCGTCTACGCGCGTTCGGAACGAAAGCGACGAAGATTTAATGGACTGGCAAGTTTTTCGCGATTCTTCCCTCTCGGCTCGTGAGACAGTCGGAGATCTATCGGCGTGGATCCTCGTCGCTGTGGATCGAGCTGGCGAAGAAAAGATGGGAACGGGGCGGGGTGAGGGAGGGCAGATCGAAAGGATACAAAAAGCAGGGGAAGAAAGGGAGGCAACAAAGACGACGACAACGAGGATGAAGAAGAAGAAGACGAGAGAAACCGAGGTGAAAAAGAAGATAAAGAAACGAAAAGCCAGGGAATTAAAGGAAGATTAAGAAGGCGGCTGGGGCAGAAAGGGAGGTCGAAACAGCAGTCTGAAGGACCTGTGAAGCTGAAAGAAGGATGAGCAGAAAAAGAAAAAACAAAAGGGGGTATCGCGAGTCGAGGTATCGGCCTCTTCTCTCCCTGCCAGACGACCAAATCCTTCTCGAAAGGGATCCTGGTCGTGGTTTCGTTTCGGTCGCACGATCCGTATTAATGAGGTTCGTTTAATTAACGCGTCATGGGAGATTCGAGATTTTCTTCTCTCGTCCCGACGCGTAACAGCTTATCGAAGGAGCAAACACATCCGCGAATTCGTAGGATATTCCAATCTCTCTTTCGCTTTTTCGCGAGAATACCCTGGTATATACCTCGAAAGAGTAACACGTGTAAATTACCGACGAAGATCAGTCCGTAGAGGGACCCCGAGGTATCCAGATTCAGATGTACGACGAAGTTCCATTCGGAGAGATGCAACCAGGGGGATTAAAAAGAAACTGGTTATCGAAACCAGCGCCTCCTCGCACTCTCGTTCCCCCTTTTTTCCTCTTGCTTCTCCGAATTCCTAATCTTAATTAAATTTATATCCATCGTTCGAGGTATGCAACACCGTTCTCGCTACCACAGCCCGTTGTCCGCTTAATCACCGTGAGTCTACGATTCATGCGAACCGACGAAACTTCGTAGAGCTAACGAAGCAAGGAAAAATGGGCCGGAGAGGTTGTCCAATGAAATTGGCAATTACTCGAAATCTAAAGCACTTGAAAGTAAAAAACGACGTGGGATTTTTCGACTCGATTTACTCGATACTTATCCGCGAGGACGAAGAGGGCTGGAGAAAAGAAACAGCGAGAACGTAGCCGATGAACGCAGGTGGGAGAAGAAGAGGAGCCTGAACGGCGCTGGTAGAAAATTAACGAACGTCGTTCCAGCGGTCGAGATAAAGTCGTGATAAATTTACGTCCGGCGAGGGCAGAGAGGCCTTTCTGTTCGGCCTCTTCGATTCGCCTTCTTCTCGCCTCTTCTACCTTGACGAATTCGAAATCCACCGGCGAACCTGTGACCGCTTGTCAAATGCATGACTCGACGATATTTCGCTGGGAATATCGAAAGACGAGAAAAGAATTAGAGACCGCGAATGTTATTCCACCAAAGTACCATCAGCGATCGTTCCGACCTGTCGCTGATGGCCCTGTACGACCGATCATCCGTTCCGTTAGCGATAATAGGTGTTACACGTTCGGGCAAGTGTCTTCGGCGCAACACAGTCGCGAAACCGGCCCCATGTAAATTCGAATCCGCGAACAGCCTGCAGAAATAACGCCACTAGCAGTGTCGAGTGCGCGAGGTGGATACAGAAACACGTAGGACACAAGTACGTACTTACACGTAGGATAGAGGCCGAAAGCGAAGGGTGTACGGAGCGTTGCGTGACTGAACGTGTGACGAGCACACAGGACCATGGACGTGTGTAAGAGAAGGCCCCCTCGGCATAGGTATGTTGTGTCCAGGGAGTTGGTTCCAAAGGGTCCCAGTCAAGGCCTCCAGACATCGGCGGGGGGAGGCTACGCGAATCTTTGAGCATCGTTGCAAAGAAAGATGAAGAGCG